AGAAGGGGTAGGCTAAGCAGCAGGGGCTCCTTCCCTCAAGGCTGCTACATGAGGTCAATGCAGGGCACAACAGTGTTACTCATCACCAACAACACTGACTGATAGTTTTCAATGACCATGTTCTATCAGAGGGCAGCCAAGCGTCTTTACTAATTTCCACAGAAGTATCATGTGGGCCAGCAGGAAGGAGCCCTGCTCATTCCTCTCTCCTCCCTTCCTCCACCCCAACCAGAGCAAACTCTGCTTTAGAGGTGGTAAGGTTTCATGCCATGGACTGCCAGAAGAATCCACAAATCAGTCCTAGAAGAAGTATAACCAGATCCTCTCTAGAAGCAAAGATGGTGAGTTTTAGCTTGCTTTCTTTGAACGTGTCATCAGGAAAGATCAATCTCAAGAAAAGGACATCATGTTTGTAGAGGGTTAGTAAAAACAAGGGACACCCTCATGAGATGGATCGACACAATGGCCTCAACGATGGGCTCCAAAATGATCTTGAAGATGGCACAGTATCGGGCAATGTTTCTGTTATACTTAAGGTCATCAAGGGTTAAGCTACTCCACAACTAACAAGATTTCATTTGATTAGAGTAATACAGATGGAAAAAGTGTGAGTAATGCCCTCTGTTTTAGATCTCTGAATTTGCTGGTCACAGTGAATACTAACTCAGCTTACAGATGAAATTAGCTTTTATTGAAAGTATTTACACAGGTCATTCATTGCTCATTACACGGTGGTGTTTGCTATAACTGACATTTCATACACATTTGCATACATGTTAAAACAACACATGCTGACTATTTGACCACTCTCTCCCCTTTTCCCTTTATCAGGCAAGATAAAATAACTCCTGGCTGTTTGGTCTTGGCACACCTTTAACAAAGGAGAATTTTGCTGAGCTCCCTGTCCCTGTGTCCCTCTCCAGGCATATCCTGGATCAGGACTCTCCACTATCCTGGACCTTAGTACACCCTGCCATCACTTAACATCATAGTAGTACCTTAAGATTTACAAAACACTCTCAATTACAACACATTACTTTTCCCTCAAAACAAAACCAAAACCAAACCAAAACAAAACAAAACAAAAAACTCTCTGAGCAGGCAGGGAACACTTTCATCCTATTTTTTTAAGATGGGAGGCTGAAACTCCAGAGGTGAAGTGGTTTGGCCAAGGTAACACAGGAAAGAAGGCCACTGAGGACTAGGGTTTTCTGACTCCAAGTCCAGTTGTCATACTCATGGCAATCCCATGCATGTCAGAATAGAACTGTGCTCCATACAATTTCAGTGGCTGATTTTCCAGAAGCAGATCTCCAGACCTTTCTGTTGAGGAGCCTCTGGGTGGCCTTGAACCTCCCACCCTCTGGTTAGCAGCTGAGAATTAACCACTTGCACCAGCCAGGACTGACTCCTAGTCCACTGACTCCCAGTCCACTTTCTTCTTATTTCACATCACTGCCCCTGTCAGTTGCCCTTTAACAAGGTGGCACAAGAAGAACAGGCCTTGTGCCTGGGCCATGTGATCCCCCTCCATCCCAACCCAGCTATTTTCTGGCCAGGCTGTTGTCACAATACCAGTTAGTTGCCTAAACAAGCAGCCATAGGAAAGCAGTGAACTAGAAAGTTTTTTTAAGTCTTTTGACAACCTGCCCACCCCCACGAATGACTTCAGAAAAAATTTGGGACTCATTCTCCAGCTAGTTCAGGCAAAAGCTGAAGAAGAATCCCATTATGGCATCCAAAGCTTGGTAACAAGGCCAGTTAATGGCCAAGAGTCTGGGCCATGTTGTTGTTGTTGTTGTTGTTGTTGTTAAGTGCCGTTGAGTCGTTTCCGACCCATAGCGACCCCATGCACAGCAGAATGAAACACTGCCCGATCCCGCACCAGCCCCACAATCCCTGCTATACTCGAGCCCATCATCGCAGCCACTGTATCAATCCATCTCGTTGAAGGCCTCCCCCTCTTTCGTCGACCCTCCACCCTACCAAGCATGACATCCTTCTCCAGGGAATGGTCCCTTCTTACAACATGACCAAAATAGGTGAGACGAAGTCTGGCCATTCTTGCTTCCAAGGAGCATTCTGGCTACACTTCCTCCAGGACAGATCTGTTAGTTCTTTTAGCAGTCCATGGTACTTTCAGCATTCTTCGCCAGCACCACAACTCAAAAGCATCAACTCTTCTTCGGTCTTCCCTATTCATTGTCCAGCTCTCACATGCATACAAGGTGATTGGAAATATCATGGCTTGTGTCAGGCGCACCTTAGTCCTCAAGGAGACATCCTTGCTCCTCAGCACTTGAAACAGTTCCTTCGCAGTTGACTTTCCCAATGCTACACGTCGTCTAATGTCCTGACTGCTGCTTCCGTTGGCATCGATTGTAGAACCAAGCAATGTGAATTCCTTGACAACCTCAGTCTGGGCCATGGCAGCTGTATTATCCTGATCTAGTTATAGCAAATTTTATGAAACAGAAAGCCCTGGCTATCAGTGACTAAAGTTAATCTTTGGAGACTTTGCTGTTTGCTACCATAAAATCCCCTTTGTCCAGTCTTATTTTACTGGAGATGTGAATTTTATTTTCCAAAGTAATAACACTGACAGGATGGCTGGCAGTGTTTTACGTTTGCAGACTTTCTGACCCAAGTCCTGCCTGCCTACTAGGTTCTATGCACTCAACACCAGCCATCCTGATAACCTCCCTTTGTGGATGTGTGGGTGCCTATCATACCACAAATGCCATAGGAGAAAGACTTTACGGCCCCTATTTTTTAGAAGGGAAAAACAGTGTGAAATGTGCTCAGAAAAAGTGAGTTCAGCATTTGCGGCACTTTGTAGGTTTGGGGCAGAATTTCATCCCGGGCTTTTGGTGCTGTTACAAGAAGCACTGGGAATTTAGCAGTAGAATTCTCATATTTCACGTGGGAGACCCGAGTTGGAGTTCTAGCCAACGCACCTTGTGTGCTACCACCACACATCTGTCAGTGGAGGCTTAGGTGTCATTATGATACTGAATAGGTTTCAGCAGAGCTTCCAGACTAAGATTGACTAGGAGAAAGGTCTCGGGGTCGACTTCTGAAAATCAGCCAGTGAAAGCTCTGTGGATCACAATAGTTCAATCTGCAACCGTTCACAAGGATGGAGCAGGACCAGACACAATGGAAGCAGGACCTTCCATTGTGCATGGACCCTCATGACCTGGGGGCTGACGCCATAACAGTTGGCAACGTAACCTTTGAGCTGTTGGGGCGGGGTTAGCTGGAAAGGGATTTGGGCACAGGGGAAGGAGACCGTGAGCCATCATCTGGACACCTTTCCAGGATTTTCCTCCTTCCTCCTCGCATTCTTCCAGTTTCTCTTCTGTTGCCATACTGGTGATTCCTCCCAGACATTCCTCTCCAAATCTGCAAAAAATTCAAGGAACTAAAAGCTAGGATGGCTGTTTATCCATGCTGGATATGAGCACTGGAAATATTTAGATTTCGTTAAAATAATCCATTTAAATACGAAATATTATAAGATTATTCTCATTAAAAAGAGAGTATGTTTCCACATTGCCTTAAACACAGACACAGGGTGACCACTGATGCTCAGGTCTGGGGGCTTGTATACAGGTGGAACAAATGACCTCCTATTTGGTGGTGGAGTTGGCGAGGTGTTGCAAGACCTCCTTGCACAGAAATATCTTTGTCACCTGCTTGGCTGATGTTGCTAGGTGCTACTGAGTTGATTTCGACTCATGGCAACCCCATGCGACACAGTACAACTACCCCATACGGTTTCCTAAGCTGTAATCTTTATGGAAGCAGATAGATGGGCTTTTCTGCCATGGAGTTGCTGGATAGGTTTGAAACACCAACTTTTGGTTAGTACACCAGGGCTCCTGGTTGTTTATGGTGCCTGAAATTGACCGATAAGGCATCTGGTCATTGCTCGAGGAGCCTTTATTAAAATGCAAAGGCTTTGAGAGAGTTAACATGTTGCTATTTACTATTACCTTGCTATTCTGACCTAAGGACTCCTGGGTGGTATGTGTGGTTAACCTGCTCAGTTGCTAACTGAAAGGCCTGCTTTCTTCCTGATTTTACCTGGCTCACCCTGGCTTGTAGTTTACTTAGATATGCTGCTGTAGTTTTATGAAATTCCTAAGTCAACTTCTATGTAAGTACCTTGCAGAGAAGAGGAAGTGTTTTTAGGGCCCAGAAAGAGGTACATAGCTCACTGGTGTGTTTCTGGCTACAACCCAGGGTAATTATTCAGAAAGGAAGCCTGATTTTCTCCCTGTGTGACCTCAGCCTAGTGCAAATGGTCAATGTGCTCAGCTCCTAACCAAAGGACTGGAGGTTTGAATCTATCCAGAGGCACTCAGAAGAAAGGCCTGATGATCGACTTCCAAAACATGAGCCATCGAAAACCCTATGGAGCACAGTTCTACTCTGACACACACACACATAGGTTGTCATGCATCAGTATTGACTCCATGGCAGCCAGTGGTAAGCTTTTACTTTTCACTAACAGGAGAGAAAGTTCTGCAAGAGGAGGCACTGAGGTTAGAAAACATTAGTTTGTCTCTCCCACCCTCCACCCCCTTTGGCAGTTGTGTGGTCACAAATTGTGGGCTGTTATATCTTGTTTTGATGTTTCAGTAACCACCTCCTTCCCCCTTCTCCATGGCAATCAGTCCAGCTACATGGCTGAACATATCTTAAATGCCTTATGAACAAAATGACTTAAATGCTGGAGCTTAACAATTATTAGCAGTTAAATCCAAGTAAATTACAAGGAAACCCAGGTTCCACAAATGGGATTAAGTTAACAATCAGGTCTTTTAAGTAGAGACAGCGCTGATTTATCCAACCAGCTCATTTCTAACATGTAAAACAGGAAAAAAGCAAACACATATTGCACATTTTAGGAAAAACCCATCACATTTAGCTGTATATACTTTGATGTAGTCTTTCATTGAGTTTGTTTGCAAACATAGACAAGTGAGCATTGGCTAGATGACTGAGGTCTCAGTCTGCAGGAATGACTGGGCACGGGAATTCCGGTGGAACTGCAGGACACTCTCCGAGCCATTTCGAGAGACTGAAGAGCTGTGGAGTCTGTAATCCCGGCTCACAGACTGGTTTGGGCACAAGCTTCGCCATTTTCTTTTCAGCTCACACTGCACCTGGGGGAGGTAAGGGACACAGAGTGAAAGCAACACTGGAAGGGGGGACATCAGACATATGTCTGAGCTTGAAAAGTGTGAGCTCAAGCTACCCTCTAGAGAAAACACTACCTCTGGACACACTATTTAGTTTTCCTTTCTGTTAATTGGCATAGAGGGTAGCACTGACCTATCTCTACATCCCAACCAGATAGATAGAAGTGAAGAGAGTCTTGGGGAAAAGAGCAAAGGGAATGGGGACTGGAAAGACTGCAGATGGAGAGCCTCACCTATTAATGTGTTAAGATTATATAAGACAGTAAGTTAATCATTCCTGCGACCTGAGACTCTAGTCATCTAGCCAACGTCCACTTGTCTATGTTTGCAAACAAACTCAATGAAAGACTACATCAAAGTATACATTGTTGTTGTTGTTGTTGTTATTTGCCGTCAGTCAGGCCCGACTCATAGCGACCCCTCCTTGGGTTCCTGAGGCAGTATCACTACGGAAGTAGGATTGCCCAACCTTCCTTCCGAGGAGTGGCTGGTGGGTTTGAACCGCCAGCCTTCTGGTTAGCAGTCAAGTGCCTTAGGCACTATGCTACCAGAGCTCCCAAAATATACATAGCTAACTGTAATGGGTTTTTTCCTAAAATGTGCAATATGTGTTTGCTTTCTTCCTGTTTTACTTTTTAGAAATGAGCTAGTTGGATAAATCAGCGCTGTCTCGACTTAAAAGACCTGATTGTTAACTTAATCCCACTTGTGGAACCTGGGTTTCCTTGTAATTTATATATCTAAGACTTTGAGTTATCATATTATAAAGACCGTCAATATCATAAGACAGTGGCTTATATACCAAGAATTGGAAACAGTTAATTTGTATTTTCAGAGAAGATTTTCCATAGAAACTGGAGGTGAATGATAGTGCTTTGGATAAAAGAACTTGATTCCAGTTTCTTGCTCCTGATTAAGGCAGAGAACATTCACCATAAAGTTTGGGGTGCATGAGGAGAGGTAGGTGTAGGAGCCGTTCCTGTCAATATGATATAGGAGAACAGTGCAAGGAACAGCAGATTGGCTCAGCTTTATCACAGATATGCTAATGAATTTTACATACTAAGGAAAGAAAATCTATTACCAGTTGAATGGAGGTTGGGAGGGAACAGCAAAAGATTGGTAGCCAGCATTAGGAGAGAAATGGCAATCAAGGCTATCACAGTAGCCAGGTGTGGGAGAGGCCTTTGGGAGTAGGGAGAGTACTTGGTATGTGAGCAGAGTTGACATCCCCAGCCCAGAGCTGTATCCTACAATCCTTCCCTGCCACATTTCTAGGGATCTCCAGCTGACTTCTATCCCAGGGATCTGTGAATAAAGCAGCAGCAGTAACAGCAAACTCTGGGAGAAATGATTATTAAATAGCACCCAGCTGGTGATTTTCTGGGCTTGAAGTTTCCTGTTTCTTCCTGTTACTAATGTTGGGCTGAGAATGGTATTTGAGACTCCACTGAAAAAAGCAGAGGAAAGACGACTTTAGTAAAAGCATTTCATACAATGGAAGGAAGAGAAAACCAAATGGCTAGGTGGAGGTTCACAAAAAGGGAGGAGTTATTGAGGGCTTAGCAATGCAATCTTGGAAAAGGTGACCAGAACTCAGATAAAGTGATGGCTACAGGTTGCCCAGATGGTAAAATGGTTAAGGGCCCAGCTACTAACTAAAAATCTAGTGGTTCAAATCTACCCAGAGTTGCCTCAGAAGAAAGGCCCAGTGATCTACTTCTGAGAGGTCAGCCAGTGCACACCCTATGGAGTACGGTTTTATTCTGACATCCATGGGGTCACCATGAGTCAGAACTGATGATGGATTTGTTTTTAAACGGAAAACGTATAAAATTTGGAGCATTCTGAGTATACAGTACAAAGCAGGAGTCATGAAACTTTATATTAGGGACTTACTTATTTATTTCTTGACGTGTTTGGGTATTGTGAGTCTAAGGAGAAGGGTTTGTCATCAGCACTTTCTAACCTCCTCCTCTGCCTTCCCATTCTCAGCCTACACCATGCCCCAAATGTCTGTAATTACAGTCATGGGTTAAGAAGTAAGACAGTCAGTATAAAGAGTGATAGGGTCACTTTTAGTTATCTAGTTGGAGAACTTTCTCCAAAGGGGTCTACAAAAGGATTGGGCAATTGATATTGCATGGTGTGGGAAGATAAAGAGATCAAAGCTTTTGCAAATGGATGCCGAAGGTGATGGCAAAACAATGGGCCATGATGGCTACAAGAAAAGTGGGATTGGCCTCCATTGTTCTGGGCTCAGATGACTATAAATGCCGAGGTAGGGAGAGAAAGACTATTGTTCATGTTCAGGACAATGGTCTGGTGGAAGACATGGGCTCCCTTGATGTCAATGATGTCAGCTTATGGGCTTAGACATTTTAGGAAATATGTCACAATTGGGAAATATTTGTAATTAGTTCTTGAGGAATGATAAAAGACTTACTTCACTGTTCAGAAAACAGTAGAGCACCGCCACAACCAGGCCCTGCAAACAAGAAAGGGTCATCAGAGAATACAGAGCCAACCTTGGGGGAGAACACAGGTCACCTCTTCATAAACATACCTGGAATGATCCCAGGCACAATTCAAACAGGATCTGATACTTGGAGGAGATGCCAATAGGAAAAACGGCAAACACCATATAGTGAACCCCAAACAATGGGATGAGTAGCAGTGTGGACTTGGCCAGCCTCCTACACCAAAAGAAAAAGGAAATTGAGATTTGCAAGTAAACCATGGCTGATTTTATGCATCAACTGTTGCTATAAATTTCATTTTAAGACATTGAATGACTTGTTGGACATAGAGGGTGCTCTGGTTACCTAGTGCCGCTCTGACAGGAAACATATCACAAATGGGATGGTTTTAACAAACAGGAGTTTATTATTTTACAGTTCAGAGGCTTGAAGTCCAAGTTCAAAGTGCCAGGCTCTGGTGGCTGGGTGAAAGCCCCTCAGCCTTGGGCTTCAGCTCTGCCTCCAGCTCCTGGCCCACTGAAGCTAGAGGCTTTTCTTCACTCAGACAGCTGGGGGTTGCTGAGGCTGCCAAGCCCAAGGTTGACAAGTAAAAAGGCACAGTCTCGATGTTACCAAACCACTTGGCAGGTCATTAATTCAAGTTCATTGTAAGTCCCAAAGTTGGCAGAGCATGGCAGGCTTCTGAACAACAACACAACTACATGCAGGGTCCAAGCATGCCATAAGCTAGAGACCATTCCCAAAGCTGCTGCTTATATACGGGAAGCAGACCATATACCCAAAGGCAGCTACTCAGCTGCTCACAGTCGATTCCACCATGGAGTTGATTACCAGTCTCATCATGGGGTGTACTCATCCAGCTGCCCAGCCATTCAGTCAGGCCCAGCCAAGTTAACACAAAAACATTACCACCACAGAGGGCTAGGATCCCTGTCTTTGCATGTTATCGTGAGACCTTGGCCCAGGAGGGTTCTGACTCTCTCTGAGCCTCATTTACCTCCCTCTAGAATTTTAACCAGCAGTTTGCTCCTCCCACCACCCTACACTGTAGTCAGAGTGTGCAAATGTGATGATAGTAATCACTTTGCTTCATAAAGCATAAAGCTCTTAGAAGAAATCTTGACAAGCACAGTAAGACTACATTGTCATTAGTGGGTCCTACTGTTCTGCCTCTAATTGTTTTTAACAACTGAGACAGATCACCGGTATGTAAAGGTCAGAGGCAAATTTTAGTTTCAGATCAAAGAAGCAGACTCATAGCACAGGTGAAATCCCATTAGAACAAACATTGCCAAGAAGTGTTCTTTAAAGCCTCAGGTATTTATAGGTGCTGGCAGATAACCCAGGAAAACACTCCTTTGTTGATCTAGTTATAAATGAATTCTGTACAATCAGGTACACTGTGTTGAATGTAATTTCTCTGTCTATAAAAGGAGTTATTACTTTGCCTAATCAAAAAATAGATTTTCTGCTCATTGCAGTGTATGTTGAAAATAAAATAGTTGAAGTAAATATCTTACCTTCACCATAGCTGCCCTTACTATTCTCTTTTTGTTTACTACTCCTGTGTCCACCAAGCAAATGACCTTCGATTTGTATTAACTATACCTGTACCGTCATAACACTCTAAGCCAGTGGTTCTCACATTTTAGCAGCATCAGAATCATCTGGTTAACACACTGAGTGCTGGGCCCACCCTCAGAGTTTCTGATTTGGTAGGTCTCAGGGGATGGGCTGAGAACTTGCATTTCTATCAAGTTCCCAGATGCTGCTGCTGCTGTCTGTGGATCACATTTTGAGACCAACTGGCCTATGCCAGTGATGTCCAGCTTGCCCCTCATTCCAACTGAATCAGATCTCTGTGGTGGGACCTAGGTGTTAGTAGTTTTAAAAACTCTCCCAGGTGATTCCAATGTGAGGCCAAATTTGAGAATGACTCATTTGACCCCTGCTACTCCACTATAAACCGAAACTCACTCACTGCCACTGAGTTGATTACAACTCATAGCAACCTCCTTTGGGTTTCCGAGGTGGTAAATCTTTACGGAAGAAGACTACCCATTTTTCCTTCCATGGAGTAGCTGGTGGGTTTGAACCGCCAACCTTCTGGTTAGCAGTATAAATGCCTCAGGCACTATGCCACCAGGGACATCTCCAATACGGCCTGTGGACCAGCAGCAATGGGGTCCATCAGAATCTGCCATTTAACAAGAGCCTCAGGGTGCATATATGCATCTGAGGAGCACTGTCCAAAGCCACCAAAATAAAAAGCCAGTTAAATTCTCAAACTGTTCAATCATACCACTTACTGCCATGGAGTTGATTCCAACTCATAAAGAACATAGTAGACACGCCCCATAGGGTTTCCAAGGCTGTAAATCTTTACAGAAACAGACTGCCTCATCTTTCTCCTATGGAGCAGCTGGGGGGTTCAAACCGTTGACCTGATTAGCAACCAAATGTTCTAACTACAGAGCCACCAGAGCTCCTTGTTCAGTCATACAGTCCTCCAAAAATGTGTGAGTGAGGAGTAGCAGGGATGGATGCTCCACTTTTGTTCCACTCCTCCCACCTTCTCTCGTTAGATGTCTCTCCCAACATTTTAAAAAGGAAAAATGGTTAATTTTTTAAATTTAGTTTTGAGGCATTAGCCTCAAATCTAGCATTCATAGCCTGTGAATGTAAATTCTATAAATGTGTTCATTTCTCCTAAATTTCACCAGAACAAAACAGATGACATTCTGTGCATTCATAATAAGCAAGATTTGCCTTACAACTGACAATCTGCACAAGTCCCAGAAGACCCGGCCATTCTCCTGCCAGATAGGAGCAGGAACCTGCAGCATCCTGCATCATCAAGGAAGGTTTGGCCATATACAAATGGATTGTTGCCCATTTGCAAATCTTCACATTTAATGTTATAATCCCCCATCAGCCTTGCTGCATTTAACATCTCTTGTGCCAGGTTAGCCTGGTGAGGAAAAGCTAAGGTTCTGTAGGGAGCTGTGCCCTTTAGTTAAATGTTAGCAAGAGCACCTGCTTAGACCTCCATTACCAATACATCAGAAGATCATTATCGTTCATGTCTTTTACATAAAGGACAAGATGTGACCCAGAAGGCAGTCTTTTTTGTTACATTGGATAAAGACCAGGTTCTACTAGCCCCACTTAATTTTGTTTCCAAAATAAAAGCATCCATCTCTAAGATCTACTTAACTAACACATCCAAAGAACCAAAAGAAAAGGTCATCATAGGAGCTAAATGAGATTTATAGAAACTCAAAAGTTCATTCTGAAGGGCAACTAGCAACCAAGAATGACCTTATCCCTTCCCTCCTTTATAGCTGCAAAAGCATGGGGCAGGTTCCAGGAATTGGCTTGGCTTTTCACCTGAGCATTAAAAATGTCACACAGTATGGCTGACTACTACAGGTAGTCCCCCAACTTATGACATATTCAAGTTATGATGAACCACACTTACAATTGTCCTTTTTATTTTTTTTCTTACTTCTTATCATTAGTAATACGTACTACATACAGTGTCGCAAGGTATTTGCTTATGTTATCATTCTCAGATGTAATGTTTCCCACCCCCAAAGACAAGACAAAGATCAGATTTATAAAGATACTGGTAATAAAATGCAATAATAATGAAAACTAAACAAACAAACAAAAAAAGGTGAGGTATTTACTTACATCAGAATCAGAATCGATTTACTATGGAGTCATTGGAGAAGAACTCTGTTTTAAGTTGGGGACTACCTGTACTTTATTTTTTTTGGTTTGACATGAAGTCCCACCTCTAGGCCTGTGTTTTTTTTGTACAGTCTCCTTTAATGGTGGGCAGGGGCACAGAAACTAATTTCTTAGAATTTATACACCACAGTGGAACAATCAGATTTATCTGTTTACCAATCTCTTTCATAATACTTACTGGTCCCAAGCACTAAATGCCTTTCAAATATTAATTCTGTTAATACTCATAACAATCCTACTAACAATTATTATTATTATTATTCCCATTTTACAGATGAGAAAAGTGAAGCAGAGAAAGGTTAAGTCACTTCTTTCAGGCTACTAGCTCATACGTAAACCCAAGCATTTGGGCTCCGTGGTCCATGTCCTGGATCACTGCATTATGCTGCCTGTCCGTAATCATCCCCTGGCTTTTCTAGAGGAGGAAAGGAAAGGGAACAGCTGAATCCAATCTACCGGATCACATGGAATCCTCAAAGCAATGCTGAAAGGTTGCATCAACTGCTTCTCCAAGTAAGGAAGTACACTGGGGAAGTAGGGTAACTTGCCCAAGGTCACACAGCTTGTAGTGTGGCTGTAAATTCTAATTCTAGTCTGTCTGAATCTGAAGCTCCTACTGGACTAGAATGACCACTTCTACACTAAACTACTGTTTTCTTTATATCTTAGTAAGGGATTTTATATTTTTCTTTATAAATTCTTTACGGATGTTTCCAGCATCTTTAAATTTCTTTATGGATCCCTCAGATCATCATTAATTAGCTGAATAATCCTGAGTAATTAACTTAAGGATTCTTCATCTACCTGCATTTAATCATTCACTCAGTAAGTACTGGTAGTAAAATGGTATGGACTAATGATGGACACACAGCCATGGTCTGATGGGGATGGCAGCATTAAAAATAAAATGAAAACAATGTGTGGCCAAGGAGAAAAACACAGATTACATATGGTGCAGTGAATTACTTGGTATGGCCCTTTTAGCCTTGGTCTTTGTGAATCCCACCAGATATCTGGGTGGAGCTATGCAAATGTGAGAGCCTTGTGGCCCACCAAGGGGATTAGACAGTTGGTTAATAATGTAAATAAGTACATGTCACTCTTGTGGGGGTGGGGCGATGCAGATAAGGTGTATGGAACCCTAACGTGGGGATTGGTCAGTTTTGTCATTCTGCTAGGCTTAAAATTAGCCATCCCAGAGGCAGAACTGGAGAACCTCACTGCATCAAGAAAGAAGAGCTGGTTGTGGAATGCATCTTTGGACCTGAGATTCCTGCTGAGATGACATAGAGACAACATAGAGACAACAGATGTGGCGGCAGCAGAGGCACACCTAAAAGAACTGTGTAACTGTTGCCTGAGCAGGGCAGAAACCAGGCCAAGGGTCAGAAAGAGACTTGTCTTCAGACATGGCTGAGAAAAGGCTCTCCTGATTGAAGAACTGTATCCTGAGCATTCTTGAACTTGAATTGCAACCTGTTACTTTCCTAATAAACTCCATAATCATTGAGTATTGTCTGCGAGTTCTGTGTGGCCATTGCAACAAATTATCAAACATTTCAGAGAAGTGGAATGTGCCGTGGGAGGGATGGTTGGTGTCAGAATTGGTAAAATGGTTGGAGGGTGGTGGAATATCTGACTGTTCTACCTCATATGAATAAGCCTTGGGCTGCTGATGGTGATTCTGTCTCCCCCTCATGAAGTTACAGGAGGTCAGAGGATGCCACTGCCAAGCTTTTTCATTAGATAACAGGAAAGGGGGCAAAATACTGAAATAAACACATGTACTAAAATGGATACTCAAATGGCCGATAAATAAAAGGTCCTCAACTTTAATAATCACCACAGAAATACTATGTCACTGTGGGCTAGACACTTAGTTCCTCTGAACTTCAGATACTTGTAGATCTTACGTAAATTAGCAATGAGTTTACTCCTGGGACTAAATGAGAAAAAAAGTGGCCCATTCCTTCGGTGTCCATTTACCAGGACAACAATCCCCCATCCCCTCAGTAACTGTAATTCTGAAGATCCTTCTTGGCAAACAAAGGTTACCATTCTTTTCACTCTTCATATATGCATCCAGGTCTTCTTTAAAACCAGGTGTTTTCAATTTCTAGACTATCTGAAGTTTGGTGAAGGATGACTTCCATGACACCAACACTGTATTACAACCAATTGTTAGATGCATTGACAAACGAACAAAAAACATTGCTGTCAAAGTGATTCCAGCTCATCATGACCCTATAGGGCAGGGTAGAACAGCTCCATAGGGTTTCCAAGGTTGTAAATCTTTATGGAAGCAGACCATCACATCTTTCTCCCATGGAGCAAGCTGGTGGGTTTGAACTGTTTACCTTTCAGTTAGTAAGGAAGCACTATAACAACTGCTCCACCATGGTTCCTGCTAAATGCATACTCACTTATATTGTGATTGATCGTTGCCGCCAACATCTGGTGACGTTAACTTCTGTAGTAAAATCCTTATAATACTAATGAAAAGGACAAAGTTAACCTGCACAAAAAGAGACAATATGTTTGTGCCTAATTTTCCCCTATACTGAGCTAGGAAACCTCCCCAGGGTGGGCCATGTGGCAGGGGATTCTGCCAGGCTGGCCCCAGTGCTCTGGTCTCTGTCCCATGGCTCGAGTCCATTTTCCACTTGCTTTGGGCCTGGCTCCAGGCAACGTGCATTTCAGAAAGTCCCCACCCCTGCCAAGGGCTCAGTCTGCTCTGTAAGTTGGAGGTGGACATCATTCTCTAGCCTGAAGTTACGTATGTTACAACCTCAGGTTGCAGCAGCATAAGCAAATTACATTTGAAATGTGAAATGGACAAATGGAAATCCAATTTAGAGCCACAATCAAGCACACTTGGTCATCCTGACTTTGATTCCTCTTGAGGTTCTTGCCCCCCTAAGAGAACACAGATTTTTGGCTCTCTGCTCCACACAATCTCCTCCCCACCTCCAATGTTCCTTCTCCCCTGAAGGAGGCACCATGTAACTAAGGCGAACTGAGTTTACATAAGGACTGAGTTAAAACTGTTGGGGCAGCAGTCAAGCTTCCACAAGGTTCTTCTCTCAAAAGATTGAGTAGAATGGATTTATATATATTTAATAAAGGATAATGGGCTCATTCTCTGCCCAAGTGTACGACTCAATGGATAATTCATGTTTCAATACAGAAATTACTTACTATAATAGAAATTAAAATTGGTATTCGTATAACCCACCAGGGAACACTGTGTTCGTTTGTATCCCAGCAACTATTGAAAAAAGAGAGAGGGAAAATCATGTTACTACTGATTTCATCTAGCAAACAAAGTACACAAGGATAAGTGTGCTGCATGTAAATTTATCAGTGACACTGTGCCTGCAAAATAAAACCTACCTTATTTACCAGGGCATAAACCTTGGTTTTGGTTTTGTTAAAGTACACCTTCTGATCTGCCTACTTACTCAATTCTAAAAGCACGGTTATACTGCATTTAGAGATCTTGGTACAATCAGTCCCCAGAGAGTCATTCTGTTTAGTTTTATTGTTTTCAACATGATAGCCTAATAATGAAGAGTGTGAAACCAAAGCAGAACCCAGAAGCCAGAGAGAAAGAACAAGTTACATTTCATAATTTAATGTGCTTATCTTGGATGGAATCCCTATGGGGTGTAAATGGTTAATCTGCTTGGTCACTAACTAAAAGGTTAGAAGTTTGAGTCCACCTGGAGGTGCCTCAGAAGAAAGTCCTGGTGGTCTACTTCCAAAAACTCAGCCATTGAAAACGCAGTGTCCCACAGTTCTCCTCTGACACGCATGAGGTCACCTTGAATGTGAGTGGACTTGACGGCAAACTTTTGTTTTCATTAATCTGGATGTCTGTATAGGCCAGGTTCATGCTGGCTCCAGTTCTTATAAAACATGAATTTTTTTTTTTCCCATGAAAATAGAACATTTCCCTTCTCCTCCCACATGGTTTATATCTGTACCTTGAATAAAGGTTTGAACAGTGTCTTTAGAATAATTGAGGCAAGTGCAGCTAGGAAAGTGTGGTCTAGCAACACATTTTCATTTTAGTTTAAGAGTTTGTCTCCACTAGGAAGCTGTGGTAGACTGTGAAAGGCTTCAATTATTCCCATCCCCTTGCAAGGTGACCACTGCTTCATCTATCAAGAGGTGGAGTCTATCTCTTCAGTCCCTCAATCTTCATTGGTTGTGGCAATAGATTATAGAGGAAGAGCCAGTTAGGGGCCCACTCTCTACACAGGCTCCCTGTGAACAAGCCCAGTGTAGCCTGCTGGAGGGTGGGGGACTGTGAGGAGCAGAGAGGAGGGTTCCTAGTTGATGCTCTCCTAGTCCCGCCAGCCAGCCTCACCACTGACCTTGCAGTTGACGAGAGTAGGCCTGGATGAGAGACCAAAAGAACCACTGTGTAACTCCAACCCCAATGGCCCATACACAGAATCACATGCTAAATAAAAGGATTATTTTAAGTCACCCAATTTTGAGGTGGTTTGGTACTCTGTAATGGATGACTGACACACTCTGAGATCACCTTATGAGGACTGGGACATGGCACAAGACTCATCCTGGCAGTGCTGGTGCTTGTGCTTGGGGCCATGGTTTGACTCACTGTCCACACAAAAAAGCAGAAGGGCCCTGGGTCCTGTTCTAGTGGTAGTCTATGCTTAAGAAGAAATCTGTGATAGAGAACAACTCTGAGATAAACATACTCTGGCTTGTCATTTTAACCTGATCTGCAATAGGCTGCCTTCTTAACATTTTGCTCCAGGTTAACAACATATTCTTTGTTCTCTTTTCTTTAGTGATCGCTGTCCCTCCCTCCTTGGATGCTTCCTTTTCCTCTGTCTGGCCTATTCTAATCAGACCTGGCTCAGTTCCCAGCTCTTACATGAATCTTCATCCAAATACTTCAACCCCTAACATTTCTTCTAGCCTATGAGTTTGAATGTCTTTCCTTCTCATTTATTGATTGCTCAAATGCCACAAATACAACTTTTCTATTGACTGGAATTGCTTGTCTTTCCAACCAGAGAATGAACTGATCTCTACTTTCCAAAGGACTTAGTATTGTGAAGTATTTAATCAATATTGCTTACTGTCATTTGAAAGGGAAAGGCATGGGCGTGACACTTACCCTGTGTCTTCTAAAAAGAGCCTGGTCACAGTCCATACCACTACGCAGACAGTGGGGATGCCTGTGAAGAGATGTCCCATTAACACAAACCCTGCACTAAACTGGAATGGGTTAACTTGGAACAAGTATGCACCTTGTTTAACCACAACTGTCGAGGACAATGGCTTTTTGACTAATGTATTAAGTGGAAACGCTGTTCAAAATTTTCATAAATATATACAAGTTTATATTCATGCTTTATTAAGCAGCAAAGATAATATACATTTGATAGTTGAGAATACAAGGGCCTAAGAAACATCTTTCTGTATTTAAGTGTTATCACTGCAGACGGTGGAGATAAAATGTGTTGAGAAGAGATGATGTGTCTATTGACTTTGTGGCAACCCGAAGGACTTGTCTGTTGTGTTGGCTTCTTCACTGCTAATGTGGAATGTCCTCTAAGATTATCCATTTAAGAGGAGGCTCCTATCAATTGGTGTGTTATCAAGGTTTCCCTATGGAGTGACTTCCTGTTCCTTCTCCTCAGGCCCCTTCTTCCCTCCATCAATGTATGCTGGACTGGGAAGAAGAAGGAGAAATAAACCATTTCCTATCTGTTAGCAGCTCAGGTCACAGTTTGAGTTTGTCATAAATGCATCCAAAAATGAGAGTTTAAAACAAGTTCCAGTGAAGAGAAAAGGGTTGGCTGAAGAACCTAAGCAGTCCTAGAAAAGTTGTTCCCGAAACGCATCCCAGGGGTGGTAGTGTTTGGATTTACTGGGTCAGGTAGGATGGGAATTATGAGGCTGAAAGGTTTGCATATGATGGTGAGGGTGTGAGGGGAGGGTGAAGAGGGGAGATTTCAGATCAGGGTGTCAGGCCCAAGAGCTTGGAGCACAAACTCAAATGCACAATGGGGTAATGTAGCAGGAGCCATGGGAACATGTCTGTTTCAGGGAAAAGGAGCCAAGGCATACTTTTTGTAATCCTTACCCCATCCAATCAGGAGATAGACCACAAAGTATCTGTTTGGGGAGAAGATAGCCACAAGGAGGGTATGGAGGTAAAGTCCTTCCACTAAGAGCCAATAAAAGTTTGCCATGATGCAGTACTGGAAGAACACCAAACTCAGCTTGCAGCCAACCTGGAATATTACAAACAGAACAAGAGAATGTGGTCACATTTGGATAAAAATAGTTTGTGGCAGACAGCACTGCTCCAGTACATAATGCACTTTGATGTTTGTATAAGGAATCAAGGACAAATCAAGGAGCTGTCTAAGGAAGGGAAGTGATTAATACAGTGGTGAGGTGTTTACTGAAAAAATGTGTGTTATGTTAAAGGAGGTCATTGTATATACACAACCCCCTAGAGGACTATTTACATAGGACTTTGAACTTACTATAAGGTAAACATAGAGGGAGAGAGGCAAATGTAAATAACCATCCTAAGAATAGTTAACTCATAACTTTTAGAGTGAACTGCTGGAAGGTTTTGCTAAACATTGAGTTTTTAGCACACTTGCCTGACTTCTGTTTTCCCTTCCTCCCTACCTTGTGTCTTTTAGGGGATACTGAGCTTCTCTTAAGGGTGATGGTAAAGTATAAGAATAGGTAAGGGTCATAGGTGAACAACATGATGAACATAATATCACTGAACTGTACATTTGAAGATTGCTGAAATGGCAAACGCTTTGTTATCTGTTTACCACAATTAAAGAAATGATTTTGAAAAAAAGACAGTTGACAAAAGATGGATTTGGAAACATATTTATAATATAAATGGCAAATAGTTAATTACTGTACCATATAGATATTACAGATAAAAGCAAGAAAAAGATAATGTGATTGGAAAAAGGGCCAAGAGAACCTGTGGAAAGATGCTCATTCCCACCAGGAGTCACAGAAAGGTAGGTTAGGAGTTAAGGGGGTTGTGCTTACACCCCAAACAGCAAGTCTTAAAGCACGACTTACAAGTATCACTGTTGCTGATGTAGGAGAAAACACTCTTGCACATTGCTGATATAAGAGTCATAGGTTTTTGGAACGCAGTCTAGCAATATATTTATCACAATTTAAAAATAGATATACCCTTTGATCTAATGATTTCACTACTGCTTTCTATCTGACTAGGAGCTCTGGTGGTGTAGTGGCTAAGGCATTTCACTGCTAACCAGAAGGCTGGCAGTTGAAATGTACCAGCCACTCCTCGGAAGGAAGGTTGGGCAATCTACTTCTGTAGTGATACCGCCTCAGAAACCCAAGGAGGGGTCGCTATGAGTCAGATCCGACTCAAAGGCAGTGTGTTCTATCTGACAGGAATAAGAACACCAGAATAGAAAGGGACACGTTCAAGGATGTTTATTGCAACTTTGTAGTGGTAAAAGTAAAATAAAATAAAATGGAGCTGAAGCTCAGGAAGAAGTAACAGTATCTATCACTGTGTCCCTTCTTAAAACTTGTCCATGAAATGCAGCACCCAAGGCCCATGCATCAGGGTGTCTTGACATTTAATATAAGTTATATTCACTATTGGGGGAATAAATCATACCAAATCATGCTACATCCATATGATATTGTTGTTGTTTGCCATCAGGTTGATTTTGAGTCATGGCCATTCCATGTGTTACAAAGTACAACTGCTTCCTAGGGTTTTCTTGGTTGTAATCTTTATAGCCAAGCAGTTCACAGTTTGTCAGGCCTTTTCTTCTGTGGAGCCACTGGGTGGGTTTGAACCACAAAACTTAAAGTTAGTGGCTGATGGCATACTGCTTGCATTATTCAGGCTCCTTCGATAGAATATTATGCAGCTATTAAAATAAGGAAATAGAGATAGGCTAGTTGTCCTGGAGCTCTGGTAGCATAGTGCCTAAGGCACTTAACTGCTAACCAGAAGGCTGGCGGTTCAAACCCACCAGACACTCCTCAGAAGGAAGATTGGGCAATCTACTTCTGTAGTGATACTGCCTCAGAAACCCAAGGAGGGGTTGCTATGAGTTGGGTCTGACTCCACGGCACATAACAACAATAATAACAGTTGACCTGGAGGGATTTCTATGATATACTGTTGAATAAGAAAAATAGATGCAGAAAAAGAATATCTTAAATAGATGATTACCTTTTCTTGGTGAAATGGTGACAAAAATATTATCTCTGTATCTCTGCATTTGTTTATTTACTGAACAAGCACATTCTTTGTGAGGACAGATGTTTTAGGGAATAGCGTATCCTTTACTACCTTTATCTTCTACAACAGCATCTTTCAAACCTTGTTCCACAAGAGTCAAAAGCATCAAAGGAGTGGCCACAGGTAGGCTAATGGGGAGGTTGGGAGGGTGGATGGGGTCCTCTAGGGCTTCCAGCCACCTCACAGGTGGTTCTATTGGTACTATGATACTGGAGTTAAGAGACTTGCCCAAGGTCCATTAGCCAAGTAGGAGCAGATCCCTAGCCAGATTCCCAGTCACCTAGTCTAGGGTTCTGACCATTACTCAACACTGCCACTCACCCTTGTACTTTAGGGAGCAATGAGAGGAAAGAGTCACTGTTAGTTGTAAGACTCTTGGTAAAAGGTAAAATTCCAGGCGGTCATCTAATCATACACTGTCTTTAGGCTAGGATGTAATATACTATAGGAACTAGATTAAGTAAGTAACAAATCCAAATGAGTCCAGATAAAGACAGGTACCGCAAATGTACCCTAGGGGCTGGGTGATGAGCCATTTCCCTTTTGTGGAGCAACAGATATTGTGGAAATGGAGCTCAGTGCCACAGGTCTAAGACGGCCTCAACTGGAGTCTTGACTTGGTTTCTTTGAGGCTCAATTCCCCATGAATAGAGAGGTAAGGAAATATCCCCACCAGGGTCATTCCAAGGATAGTCAGATAACATGCTTGAAAACACTTTGTGAAATGTAAGACATTTTCACTAGTATGCTTAGAAGATTTAAGGGAGTTGCAGGTTTTATTAAGAGCAAGAAAAAGCAGGATATTTTATTTAAAATGCATGAAAATATTGCAAGCCAAATGGCTATGGGATTGGAAACAGCATATAAAACTGAGCAACGTAGAGAAAGGCTATTCAGGGTGGGCCGACCTCCATGGGAGAAGAGATCCTCTTGGTGCCGTGCATGTAACTTGACACCTCTGGGGGAGTCATTTCATGATGTCCCTTGTACCCTGACTGTACAGCTCATGGCAGATCTGCACCCATATATGTGGGATCTCACATGCACTCTATGCCCATAACTACAGTAAACTCTGGGGAGCAGGGCCAGGATATTCCTTTGGAATTCCCATGATACGTGCACAAACCCTAATGCCATCAGATCCTTTGAAGAGATGAATTACAAACACAGCATAGAACAGGGTCTGAAGAAGGGTGACTGTGTATGTGTGTTCTGATAAAATCTCTTACTTACTGTGCTAATTTCCCTTCCTCCCTGACCCCTCTGCCAGTCTTGACTAGGTTGCTAGGTTGACAATGAAGACTCTGAGATCCTAGGACACATGTACAGACAATAGCAGGGTAGTCACTCCCCTGTTGTCTGTGTAATCCCTGTCCAGCCTTCCAGCTTGAATCTTTGGCTCAATACTCTTTCCCTAACCAAACTGAGGTAAAAATCAGTGATCAGGTTAGAATTTGTAGTGGTACAAACAGGTAACATGCTTGGCTGTTAACTGAAAGGTTGGAAGTTTGAGTCCTGTAAGAGGTGCCTCGAAGAAAGGCCTGGTGATGTACTTCCAAAAAATCAGCATTGAAAACCCGATGGAAACCACCAATGAACACAGATCTCTGTATATATATTTATTCTTTTTTTTTTTTTTTTT